ATCCCAAAGGCCAGCCGAAATAACACCAACGGCAGATGGTTCTTCCAACTCCGAACCTTGACGAGTACTCGCAGCGTTGTACTGATTTATGGACTGAAACGAACTGATACGAAACATTAAGCATTTTAAATATTTTTTTACAAAGATAAAACATTTAAAAAATTAAATAATTATGTCATACAAAACCTGCAGCAAGGCTACACGTTATTGAATAGAATATTGGATAAAAGTAGACAATTTTACTGTTCTCTTTCGCCATGAGATATCTGCATGTCTACCAGCACTACCTTCATCGTCAGCAACTATAAAACGTCACTACTCGTATGCAACATCCAGTGTAGATGTTATTTCAGTTTGGGAACTCAAAAGACTTCTTCGCTTTTAAGTTTAAAAATATCCTTGTGTGCTTGCTTGTATGTCATAAATACCTGAGATTCTTTTCCAAAACACAGCTGACACCTTCGATATCCTTTTTGGTGTATAACAAACACAATCTCTGATGGCTGTCCCTGTCTCCCTTGCTGAACACATCTGCCTCTCCCTCTCTCTCTCAATATTGCTCTCCCTGGGTGTAACATGTCAAAGTGTGCAAGAATCCATTGTAAATGAGCGCCGCGAAGTTCACAAGATACGTATTCATTAGCTTCGGTATACAACTCCAGTTGGTCTCTTTCTTTTGTCTTGCAATCAAACGTTTTTGTTACCGTCACCACATGCCTTTGTCACTACAGCTTGCTTCCCCCGTGAAGCTCCACCCGTGACCAACCACCCACGACTAACCACCCTTCACGGTTTCGTTGACAACAATGGTCAATCAACAACTCTTTTACGAAAGGTACTTTCTATATGAGATGGTTTTGTAGCCGTAACCGATTTTCAGAGATTTATTCGTGATATGATTTCCACCGCTACTTTACCTTTCACACCCATGAACCGTTTTGTTGGATAACAGTGATTGGTCGCTTTCTGGGGTTGGCATTATACGAACTTGTATCCAATTTATGTCTTTTGTTCCTAGTTTATGTCTGTCGTTTGCAAAACAGATCTGTATGAAACGTTATAGTTCCTGTTTACTTGTATATTGTTTTCTTGTACAAGCACAGAGTACTTTTGTCCTTCATCATTGCATCTTCCCAAAATTATTGAACTATGTAAGTCACCCTAATTTATGTTTTCACTAGTTGTTTTGACCTCTTCACACTTAATCGTTTATATGTAGCTGGGATATGACATTCATGATGTTGAATGCAACATTAAAGGCACAATGTCACACATTTTCGACAATATTTTGGCCTATATTTTATATATTGGGGGCATATGCACTCACTTTAGCTTCCTATTGATGCAATAAAAGACTTATTATCCCTTACGACTTGTCTGAAATCGATAATTAAAACTTCGAGGCGACCAGCTTCCAAACAGAGAACACTTGCCATATATGGAATGTAAACATTTGCTCCGTACATTGACAACTGTCCCACGCGGTGTTGTCGGTGTTTGCCTAACTGGTCTCAATCACAAGTTGTGCGTAGCATATTCGTAAAGACCACTCCAAGGGACATGACTCTATGGGGTGCGCTTGAAATAATGTTCGGCCGGTGGAGGGCGCGAGAGTCGATTTAACGCAACGTTGCATTCATTCATTCGAACTTTTAAATTTAATATTGCAATCTAAATGCGAATATATTATATGGTAGCTTTCCTGATGGCTGATAGTCAGTATAACTGAGAGAAATGCATCATGTATTTTTAGAGAAATGTGGTGTGACATTGTGCCTTTAAGAAACATTCACTCAACCTGTGAGATAATGTACTGAAAAACCATTGAAAGAATTTCCACTCCGTCCACAGTATCAAGCCCCGCCTAAGAATGCTGTCGATAGAGCTCATACTATGAACAGCCTCGTAACAAACTAAGAAACCGAAACGCACGCACGAATGCACGCACGCACGCACAAACACTAATGCCAGCTGCATGTGCGCCGACTGTTTGACAGGGCCGTAAGTGACATCAATGATGTCATAACGTAGAAAAACAAACATTCTGTGGATTCCGACCATCAACTTGTTTCCCTGTTAAACCCCCATGTAAAGTTTATTAAAGTCTTTAAAGGATATGGACAATGTTTGTTTATATGAATGCTCCCCATTCCACTTGTCGGGGCGGTGGGGCAGCCCAGTGGTTAAAGCGTTCGCTTGTCACGCCGAAGACCCGGGTTCGATTCCCCACATGGGTACAATGTGTGAAACCCATTTCTGGTGTCCCCCGCCGTGATATTGCTGGAATATTGCTAAACGCGGCGTAAAACCAATCTCACTCACCTATTCAATTTGTGACTATGACGAGTATGTCAACGCTTTTATCATTAACAATACACAGCAAAGTACTAGGCCACTATAGATAGTTATCTTTACTCACTCGGCTTTTCCGGCAATGACGTCATACCATCGAGATGACGTAACATTGATGTTTTGATTACGTAATCGATATCACGTCAAGAGAAAGGCATGGATTGGTTACCGTCGTCGAACCCTAGCAAGTACAGTGATTTTGTTGATTACACATTTCTAAGAAGCGGCGCTGGTGGGGTAGCCCAGTGGTTTAAGCGTAACTAAATCAATCAGTGTGATTCGATACCTGAATCCAAGAGCCTTGAGACGCTTACGGACTGTGTTGGTTGACAAACGACTGTTGGGTACCCAGGCTAGCTTCAAAGAAGTTCTCGTGGCGAAGGGTTCACGCCTCACGTAACGGGCCACATTGCGATCTTCAGCTGAAGTGGTAGTCCTGGGTTGCCCTGGCCCGTGTGTTGGATTCCGAAGATTCGGCCGTTGAGCAAAACAGCACTGCATACGTTGCCTTTGATGACATGCCAGCTGCAAGTATACCCACTATCTGCCATCTCAGTCCCAGTTAAAGTCACCATGTAATGTGTATGGATGAATTGGATGTCATATTCACAAGTTTTATACCATTAAACGGCCAGGCAAAGAGATTGCTTTTCATGCCATGTGTGGGTATTAGCATGCTTCAGATGCATTTTGGCAGCGTTGTGGCAAACCTTTTCAAACTGAAACCTTGTTGTTCATTACCTGAACTATGCTGCTAAACAATGGCACCACAGACCTATAATCATTATGATAGCTACATCAGTATAATAAGGGCATCATTTTTTAATGTGTTTCACGTAGCCACCAAATTCTGAACATGGGTCGGTCGGTGAAAAATAAAAAAAGTATTAAAAAAAAAACAACTTAAAAAAAGACAAAATGTTCTGAATAGGGCTCTTGGTTCTCATTTGTTTTACTTGTTATCACAATTTCTCGCAATCTCTGACTTCAAACTTGTGGCAGCGACTGAGACAATTTTTAAAAATGATAAACTCACCCTAAATATCTTTTAATCTATTAATAAAATATTAAATAATGAAATCTTTGTAGATCAACCGATATCAATCGATATCAAGAGAGAGAGAGAGAGATAGAGAGAGATATTATACAAGTAATAGGACATGTATGCACCTTGTATAGAGGGTGCCATGCATATTCATCTTTATAATTGCAACTGATTATATATTTTTTTCTGGCAAGAAATACATACTTTGCAAGACAATTAATAACTTGTGGGGTTTTGGATAATAGTAACTGATAAAATGTAGGATATGATGAATTTACAATATAATATTCAGTTCACAACTTTCTCAAATCTGACCAAAAAAAAAAAAAGAACATATTAAGCAGAAATGGTTCTCTGTTTCAATACAGGGAACAATGCATAGATGACAAAATTGTTGATCTATAGCAATATGAAGTTTTTCTTCCTCTATCATTAATCTGTGAAATTTATTAAGGGCTATTCTATATGAAGTAACATTCACAACTGACAAATATTCTTCACAACATTATTCCTTCTTTACAGATTGATATACAATACGTTTGGGAAACGAACATATTATAATTAATTCAAACCATGTCTGTTGATCTGTTGATATATACCTTTGTTTAAAATCCAATAAGAACTTATTTATACAACTTACATTCTGATTGTGCCACACATAACTAAAACCATATTTATTTAACAATTGTTTTACATTATGACCTCAACATTGTCTACCAACTTCTGCTAATTTATATTGATAACGGTATGTGTGGCATAATATTCCATTATCCTTCTGGTACAATAACCGTGTCCAATATTTTACAATTGTTATATATTGTCTAGTTTTGAAAGATAAACATCCCTGACGTTGGGTGTATTTCTACCCAGAAAGAGAATTTGCTATAAGAAATGATTGTATACCCTGTCTGCATCCAGTGGAGTTGGGAGTACTTTGTGGTAAAGGATGTTGAGAAGAACAGATAAGGTTAATTTTCTGAAATTTGATAGCTGGAAACCTAAAATATTTAACACTTTCTGGATATGACATGTTATATGCCATGACCCACTGCATGAGAAATGAACACTCAAATATGTGTAAGAAGACACAATTTCTAGTTGGGTATCATTAGTTTTACTAACATTGACGGTTAAACACCACTTTTTACAATATATCGGTAGATTATTAATCCTTCTTGGAAACCTCGGACAGTGCTATCAAACAGTAACATATCATCGGCGAAGAGTAACATGAAAAGTCGACAGTCCAAGGTCTACCTTCATCAACACCAAGACATTCAGTAATATTAACCCATTAATGCCCAAATTTATTTTCGGAGTAAATTTGTTATGATATGAACAAATACGTTTTCAAATGAACATAATCAAGTCTGGTTGTAAGTAAATACTATTGTTTTGCCATTTAGCGCAGAGACTTGCCCTGTCCCATTAATGGGACAGTGGGTACGAAATACTGAACACATGTATGAATATAAGTAGATGAAAAGATGAACTTTAATTGAAGTGAACTGAGAGTTGTATGTAAATGACTTGGCATCATTATTAGGACTTGCTGTTGAACTAAACAAACGAACACAAGTCCTTTTCTGGTAGCATGAAAGAGTTATTTCAATTGTATCTTTGGACAAACCTTTATTACTTTGTATGGGACTGTACAAAGCTTCTGTCATGGAGACCTACTCTGCATTTGGTGCAGCGACGCATGGTTTTCATTCCACACGATGCACACGTGTGTTGGCCAGCTCTGAACTAAGTGATCAACTCGATGATATCTGACACGATTGACGTGGGGCACGATTGACAAGTGATGTAGTACATCTCAACGACTAGGACTAGCAAGTGAAGATTGAGCTTGAGCTCGTGCAAGATATACTTGGACTACCCCGCAGCGGATGGTAAGCAAATCCAACGGCTTGTCCCTTCTTGCTGGGATAGCTCTATAAAGATGCCAAGCTTGTTGAACACCGAAACCAAACAGTAAGCGAATATAGGCCACCACTTCTTGGAGCGAATGGCTGTGCGATACTTTGCAAAATTTTGATCTCTACGACCAACTCCACCTATGGTTTGATTGTAGTGACGGATCATAAAGGGTTCTTCAACAGCTACTTGTTTTGACTCAGCTCTCGACCATCTCTTTGCTCTCTGAAGTGGCTGGACACCAGACTTGTTTCAGACAACTTTGACTATGTTGTTGTCATTCCATCTGACAACTGTGAGACCTAACTCAATGTCTGTGGTTTGGGCACATGTCCCTCTGGCTGTCTTTTTCATATATTTGACATCTTTCAGGATACATTTCAGAAGACAGTTTGCACGCATCCTTCAGGTGCATGTTATGTTCTTGTCGCTCAGCGCATCCATCAGATTCAAGCTTATGAACAGGTTGTCAAATATGAGGTGATATGAACGGCCATATTCGTCTTGAAGTTCTGCTATCATATCAACCACAACTGATCCACCCATGCCAAGACCTTGGCATTCCGCCTGTCACCCTCTAACACCTTGATAAGGCTCAAACTGTGAGACATATCCCATAGGAAAACCCCAGACCTCTCAAGCCCACTGTCCCATTATTGGGAAAATATTCAAACGCAGATTTACATAATAATAATCCATTGCAAAACAATTCTGACAGAAACATATTCAGTTTATGTCCAAGACATCATTTGTTAATAATTTGTCACATTTAAGAGTAATACAAAACATAATGGCACACTTTCCTTTTTATGTGAAGCATATTTCGGTCAAGCACATGTGAATTTGGTGTTATGTCAGCATCAACTGCTGGTGTATAGGGAAATAACTCTTATAAAGACAAATGCTGCACTGAAACTACTTCCCTTTAACCATTAGTCCCATAATTGGGACTGTGGTCACTTGTTAACAATTTTAGGTAATGAAAAACACATGTGTCTCAAAAGTGTGATCGTGGGCAATAATGGGTAAACATACAACAAATATAGTGATACAAGTTGATGTTTTGCAACCAATTATTCCGCTCACACAGTCAAACAGTTGTGTGTAGCCACCTTGCAATGACATACATGATTGCCCCTGACAAGATAGGGGTCACCCATTTCGACCTAAGTCGTTCGGCCACTGCATCAATAAGATGGAAAACAATATCCCCCTGTGCAAACATCACCTGTTTAACACCGTTTGTTTGGGGTTTTTATTTTGTCATTTTATTTTTTTTTCTACACAGTGTTGCTTTTACCAGGGCAATACTTGAAAACCCTTTGGGTCATTTCTGAAATGGACGAGAGTTTAATGATGAAATTGATAACAGCAGAAATAACGAAAATATTCAAGTCTAATAAGTGTAAATGCCTTCTTTATTGCCATCTTATGACAACATTGAATTTGTTGGACAATATGCATTGCAGGTGCAAACATTTGGAGATAAAAAAATAATTGTAGTTTTATCTATTCTTCCATTTGTTTTGACCTGTGAAGATCTGGGGCAGAATAGATCTTCAGCAACCCATGCTTGCCAAAAGGCGACTATGCTTGTCGTAAGAGGCGACTAACGGGGATCGGGTGGTCAGGCTCGTTTGACTTGGTTGACACATGTCATCGGTTCCAAATTGCGCAGATCGATGCTCATGCTTGTTGATCACGGGATTGTCTGGTCCAGACTCGATTATTTTACAGACCGCCGCCATATAGCTGAATATTGCTGATTGCGGAGCAAAACTAAACTCATTCACTCACTCACCCATTTGTTTTGTTCCCATTCCAAGCTAACCATTTCCTGGTTACTTTCCATTGTGGGCTCCTCGTTCTTTTTACCAGTCACCAGTAATTGAGTTTCACAGGCGCATTTGGCTAATCGCAAAGTATGATTAAATTCATATCATCACGTTCTTTATATTTGTAGATTGTCTATATTTCAAAATACCAACAAAACACTTTCCTGCAGTCTCCCCTATGTATTCAATCATGTACAGATGTGTATTGTAATGTGTTGTAAGAAGAAACAGAAAAAGGTTTTAAAAATCATATCAATTATTTTAAGTTGTCGTGGTGACCTCCAAATCGGAAATGACAGCATTGCCGAACATGTGTGTACAATATTTCAAATTAATCTGAAAAACGTACCTTTGACATTGGCAGTCCAAAGTTTATACGTCAAACTGGTTCTATTGATGGAATCCAATGTAGCTTTAAGATCAACGAAACAACAGTATAGCCTGTGCTATAATTGTGCAGGCACTGGACTGTTAATCCTAATCCGCTTATAGCCAATTAAAGTGCAGGCAAAAAGAGAATACACCGCCCTTATATAAAGACAAATATTAGAGACCAGTGTATCTCACACAAATATATTGTGATTGAATGAGTTTATAGAGTTCATAAATTTTACAAGGTTATCAAATTAAGATGTCACTACTCCCACTTTAAGAGGGACATGAAGGTGATACTTCAAAATAAACCAGATGTTTGTTTTCGTTTTCGTCTGCTATGCGATTCGCGAGTAGCAGACATCATGATCGGTCTGTTGTCAAGGGTCAAAACTCTGATGTTTTTTGTGTGGTAACATTTATGTGACGAGTCGGTACCTTCTAGGTTCGAGTCGGCGGCGTTGGAATGAAAATAAAGTTGTTTTTTTATTTTTGGTCGGCAATAAAATTAAAAATTCTGCCCTAAAAGATATTAGGGGGTGCTTCATTTAGTTCCATGTGTGTAATTGTCAAACATTGTCGCCAGTCCAGTTTTGCTTTCCAGTCCTGTTCAGTTTAAAGGAAAATATCATATGACGGTTTGAAAATAACTGGTCAGCGGCGTGAGATATACTCATAGAAACGAGTAAGGGAACAAATGAAAGTACAAGTGTTCCTTTATTTATTTTTTAGAATTTCAATCAAAGTGCAACACACAGCTTGTGAAGAAACCTGGAATAGAATAAAGGAACACTTGTACTTTCATGTGTTCCCTTATTTGTTTTCATGAGTATATTATTTTTCTCATAGTTACAGAGTGCCTTTCAGAAGTGTCGCAAATATCAAATGCATGACGCACTCATTAATGTATGCAATTGCCATTAAACGTAGAGTGTTCAAACGTATAGCAATTATGCCCCCCAAATCGCGTTATCCATTTCCACGTTTAGGATGAAAATCGAGCGAACTGGTCCGGACAGAACAATAGCTCTTTTAAAATACATATAATATCAATCTATCCTGTTTTGGTGACAAATATAGTTAAAAATCCTGTAATATTCATTGCGTTCGAAGGTTAATTTCTTACTGAAGTGATTTTGATGTTTTGCCGTAGTTCCCGTAATAATATATTCAAGAGCATTGACACTGATAGAAGGAGTAGCATAGCGCTGTTTTATCTCTGGTGACGCTGGGTACCGTTCCAGAAGAAGGTTTCAGGAAGTTTCCACTTACAACTGGCCAAGCATGTAAGTTTGACTAGTTGCTCTAAAGGGAAATATTGTTCCGATTTTATTTAACAAAAGTGATTTTTTACAAAATTTAGTGAGTGAGTGAATTGGGTTTGACTCAGTATCGTACACAAGAAAAATATGGTGTTTTACAGAATTGTTAATTTTTGTCAATCTCATATTTACAAAGTTGTAAATGTCTTGTAAAACTCATCTTTACGACATTGTAAATGCCTTGTTAATCTCATCTTCACAAGACATTTACATGATTTTAAATTTTGAATTTGTTCCAAGTCACGTCAGAGGGCATCTGCCTTATCTGGGAGGAAAGCCGGAAGTGATGCACTTCTCTGATGTTTATTCTCGAGCACGGGTATGGTGCTTATAAATTTAAAAACATAGACGGCGCAAATCGGGATTCGAAGCCACCCTCAGCCACCTAAGTTTATGCATATGCTGGTAGTCACGTGATCCGTTTTAATAAAAATACGAAATTATCTGTCTCCTGTTCGGCATGACCCTGACAAGATAGTCACCCATTTCGACCTAAGTCGTTCGGCCACTGCATCAATATGATGAAAACAATATCCCCCTGTGCAAACATCACCTGTTTAACACTGTTTGTTTGAGGTTTTTTTATTTTGTCATTTTTTTTTTATTCGCTACACAGTGTTGCTTTACCAGGGCACACTGAAAACCCTTGGGGTCATTTGAAATGAGAGTTTAAGATGAAATTGATAACAGCAGAAATAACGAAAATAGCTAAGTCTAATAAGTAAAAATGCCTTTTATTGCCATCTTATGACAACATTGAATTTGTTGACAATATGTGACAGGTGCAAAATATTTGGAGATAAAAAATAATTGTAGTTTTATCTATTCTTCCATTTGTTTTGACCCGTGAAGATCTGGGGCAGAATAGATCTTCAGCAACCCATGCTTGCCACAAAAGGCGACTATGCTTGTCGTAAGAGGCGACTAACGGGATCGGGTGGTCAGGCTCGCTGACTTGGTTGACACATGTCATCGGTTCCAAATTGCGCAGATCGATGCTCATGCTGTTGATCACGGGATTGTCTGGTCCAGACTCGATTATTTACAGACCGCCGCCATATAGCTGGAATATTGCTGAGTGCGGCGTAAAACTCAACTCACTCACTCACTCCATTTGTTTTGTTTTATTCCAAGCTAACCATTTTGACACTTCCATTGTGGGCTCTCGTTCTTTTAGGCCAGTCATTTGTAATTGAGTTTCACAGGTGCATTTGGCTAATCGCATATGATTAAATTAATATCATCACACTTTATTTTTGTAGATTGTCTATATTTCAAAATACCAACAAAATACTTTCCTGCAGTTTCCCATGTATTCAATCATGTACAGATGTGCATTGTACGTGTTGTAAGAAGAAACAGAAAAAGGTTTTAAAAAATCATATCAATTATTTTAAGTTGTCGGTGACCTCCAAATCGGAAATGACAGCATTGCCGCCATGGAGACGTGTTCAGTGTTCCTTGACAATATGCCCACAGCTTACATATTTAACCAGAATATTTCTTTAGCGGACGGTGCGTTTGCATCGATACTTGGACTCTGTTGAAACTGGAAGTGATCATGTTTTGGGAGTGATTCATGCGTGGTCAGATCCAGCATGGACTTGCTGAGTGTAATATTTCTCTCAACACAGTTAAGTCAAAGGTGTATGCTCGAAGGGCTTGAAGTTAACGGTACACGTACCTGTGGGAATGTCAGGATTGAAAATGGAATTTCACAGTTTTACATGCACAGACCCAAAAAGAACTTGACAAGAATCAGTCAGGGTATGTATGTATTGACTATCGTGATGTTATCATTACAAAGAACGAAATTTGGTACAAACGTTTAGACATAAGAAATTGGTTTATACATTGTACCCATGCGAAGAATTCATCTCGGTTTTTGACGTGATTAAGAGGCGCTTTAACTGCAAGGTTACCTTATGACACTGGAAGAGAATTATCTTCGACATGTCTCGAAATATCGCTTTAACTCATTCACCTGTGTTAGCTTTGCGAGACATTCTTTATGCTTCGCTTCAGTTTCCAATATCCCTTTGACATCCTGTTTGACCCGTAAAGACCCTCGTTAAAAATGGTCTTCAGCAAAAGGCAACAAAAGGGATCGGGTGGTCAGACGTGGTTGGTCATCGCTGGATTGTCTGTTCCAGACTTGATTATTTTCGGACCACCGCCATATAGCTGGAATATTGCTGACTGTGGCGTAAAACAACAAACCAAGCAACCAACCCGTTCGTTGAGGGTTATTAATGGTGTGGGTATGTGTCTCCCATCACTGACCAATGACATTGGTGACTATACGGGGAAATCTTAACGGCTACGCTATATCACGGACATTCTTGATCAGTTTGTTGTGCCTCATTTTGTTAACAAACCATTGGCTACCCGCCGCATAAGCAGTGAACGGCAACGCTAGGCCACATTGCTCCCATGCTGTTGGTGAGTTCTTAACGTATTACATGAGGAGTGGCGGCAATTGTCTCGAAACGTGTGCGCAGACTCACTGGTACCGTATAGAAAAGTGTGTGTGTGTGTGTGTGTGTGTGTGTGTGTGTGTGTGTGTGTGTGTGTGTGTGTGTGTGTGTGTGTGTGTGTGTGTGTGTGTGTGTGTGTGTGTGTGTGTGTGTGTGTGTGTGTGTGTGTGTGTGTGTGTGTGTGTGTGCTCTGTCATCTTGGCACGGGGTGGATACACGAGATACTTATGTCGACCACCTCGGTAAATTTCAAGGGGCTTATATAGTATGACCAGAAATTATTGAGAATTTTAGGAATATGTTTAATTGGATTTCTAGTATAAACAACCTTGACCAGCAATCAAGTGCTTGGTTTCATTCAAGAGAAACAACTCCGTTAATCCTTTTTCATTGGTTATCCCCCTTTGTTTACTTGCTAGCAGACGACATTTTCAGTGATTCTCAGTATGGATGATTTAGAGAAGAGGAAGTTGATTTTAGAGTATTTTAACAAGGACATCAGATCAGCTAAAGTGATTTCAAGTAGAACAGGCATCCCTTTGTCCACTGTTTATCGTGTTTTGAAAAATATTGCCAATGGATATGGCATTGAGCACCAGGGAGGCGCAGGTAGGCCCAGAAAATTGACTGTCGGTGACAGGAGGCGGCTTGGTATTCTTGTTTCTAAAAACAAACAAAGGAGTTTAGAAAACTTAAGGCTGGACATGATTGATAGAGGAACTGTGGCTGTCTATAAGGAGACAATTAGAACTGAGCTGCATGCAGTGGGTTGGCAGAAAAGTCGAGGAATTCCATCACCGATCATGAAACCTGAACAAAAGGAGCGAAGGTTGAAGTGGTGCTTACAGCATAGAAATTTTAACTGGGACAATGTGATTTTCTCAGATGAAAGTTCTGTGTGGCTGTTTCCTAATACACTGAAATTCTGGACCAAACAAACTGAAAAACCTTTGTATCAGCGCCCAAAGTACAGTCCGAAATTTAACGTGTTGGGTAGCATATCTGTGTTAGGGGCAACGCCCCTCTGTGTATTTGAAGGGAATATGAACAGTGAGCGGTCCACAGATATCCTCGAGGGACATTTACTTCCATCTGCTCACGTGTTCTATGGAAATGTTCATCGTTCAAAGCATTCACAGGCCTGGTTTCGGAACCAAAATATGACATTATTAGATTGGCCAAGCTATAGCCCTGACCTAAATCCAATAGAAAATGTTTGGGAAAAGTGTCAATAAGAAAAATCTGACAAATATTGCTGGAATGAAAGAAGAGGTGGTCCGATATTGGGACAGCATGGACCACGACTTTCTAACTTCTTCGATCAGTAGTATGCCCCGCCGCATTAAAGCCTGCATTGCTGCCCATGGTGACTTGACAAAATACTTACTATTCACCTGTCTTTGCATCTGGAGTTATGTTCTGCTGATATTCACATTTAATACGTGAGTAATGAGTGAAAAAAAATATAAAAATTACAATCTTAATTACTCAATAATTTCTGGTTGTACTGTACAGACCGCCAAAGCTGGCACTATCTCATCATGTGTCATGCCAGGATAATACTT